CATCGATTATCAAGTTATTTCTTTTAGATAGTCCCTCTAAGTTGTCCATCTTGTCGGTTAAAACCAGCATACTGTCACATACTTTGAAGATTTCAGTTTGCATGGTTTTGCAATGGTCAGACCCATTCGTTTGTTGTTTTTTAATGTCATCGACCTCCTTTTGGGTGAAATTAAGACTAGTTTTAAGTTCTTGTATTTCCCTGGAAAAATTGTCGAGTCGTGTGTTTGTTGAGTCCAATATCATCTTTACAAATCCTTTGAAGTGATCCTGTTGTTGCTGCATGAGTGCTGTGAACAGTTTTTTTTGTTGGATGAGAAGTTCGTTGACTTGCGTAAGGGTCATCAATTCTTCATCCTGTTTAATATCTTGTCTAATATCTTGTCCCCGTTTAGGCGGCATTTTTCGGGTTTCGTTCAATTGGTTGATGACGTGTGCTGTGGTGTTTCTGCCAACCCGGATGTTGGTGACGTGGCAGTGGGCCTGTGGCCTCCCCGGACAAGAACGCCGCGGTGTTAAGAGTTTTCTGCCGCTGCTGCCGGGTTAACTGTTCGGTAGGCTGGCCTCAAGTGGTGGTGGCTCCAGCTGCTAGTGCCGTTCCCAAAGGATCGACCGCCACTAGAGCTCCGAAGAGTCCTCTCGCTCAATCACGCCAGTTGGCTATCGCTTGCTCACGCTGCCTCGGTGGTCGAGTGTGTGGTGCCGCCGCCGCGGCCAGGCTCACCGATCGGCCAGTTGGTTTTTTGGGGTGTTTTTTTCCGCTTATGTCCGACCAATGGGTCGACCGCCGCTGGCCCCTCAGGTGTGAACTCAACTGCCAGCGCCGAGCCAATAGGTCAACCGCTGCTGGAGCCCCCTACAACGGGAGCCCCAAACGACCACTGGCTGTTGCTCGTTTGCTCCCACTGGCTGTCGCTCGCTCGCTCCCACTGGCTGTCGCTCGCTCGCTGACAGCATAAGGCTCATAGTCACCTCCAGTAATGACCTCTCTTGGAATCAAGGCTCTGGAGCAGTCATAGCCGATCAATAGTCCAACACTACAATCCATCGGTGGGTGTATCTCTTGGGTTATGTCAACCAGATGTTTCCATGAAGTGGCTGTTTTGCGGGTAGGAATGTGTGTGCGGTCAAAGGGAATGAAGTCTCGTGTAGGCTGGAGGTAGGTCAATGGAAATATTTGAGGAAAATCCTCTTACTTTAAGCCCACAAACTATGTCGCTCTTCATCACTGAGTCTTTTCCCATCATCGTGGAGAGTTTTAGCTTAACTTGGTCCATGTCTACTTTAAGCTTTGCACATAATTCTTGATCGACAAACGTGTGGTTGCTTTGTGTGTCCAAGAGCGCATATGCTAGGACCTCCGTATCAGTTGCATTAGGTGCCGAGATCCAGACGGGCACAATCATTGATGTACTCCTACCATCACTTCCATTGACACAACAAGATAGTGAGCATGTACTTTCTCCTGTGGTGTTTTGTGCTGAGGGTGTCTCCGTTGGAGAACGATCTTCATGTAATGCGGGTGGATGACTCTTTCGACATACACCACACATGGCTCTATTTCTACATTCCTGAGAATTGTGACCTGTTCTCAAGCATGCAAAACATAGCTTGATTTCATTGATGTATTTTCTCTTTTCCTCTGAAGTCATTTCCATAAGCCTCTTACATTTATGTCGAGAGTGTTCTTCTCCACAGCATATAATAAGTATGCCTGGATTTTGGGCATCTCGTAAATTGTTTTCAGATTCAGAATCAGAATCATCTTTATTGGCCAAGTATGTAGAACACACAAGGAATTTCTCTCCGGTATAACACGTTGCATTAGTATCATCATAAACAAGGACATGACAAATAGGTATGGAAGGACATTTCGTAATGTAAGTGAACCGTAGTGCGGTGGTACCACCCAGTGACAACTGTGAGACAATGTGCAAAGTATCAAGCAGAGCTAAAGTGATCAGTGGTAGAATACAATACTATGACAGTTGTACAGTTGGTGCAGAAAATTATTGAACCATTTTAGAGTGACCAGTAGCAGTATTTGCTGTACAAGAAGAGTGACTACGTCAGTGACTGGTTAGGGAGTTAATGGCTAGAGGGAAGAAGCTGTTTAAGTGTCTGCTGGATTTGGTGCGCATGGATCTGTAGCGCCTGCCTGAGGGGAGTAGCTGGAAAAGGAGGTGGGCAGGGGGCGGGGGATACAGGAGGATTTTCCGTGCCCTTGTTTTGATTCTTGCAGTGTGCAAGTCCTCAAGAGTGGGCAGGGCGGTGCCAATGATTTTTTCCGCCGTCCTAACTGTCCGTTGAAGTCGGATTTTGTCCTTTTTTGTGGCGGCCCCAAACCAAACCGTGATGGAAGAACACAGGATTGATTCGATGACTGCCGTGTAGAACTGACGTAGCACCTCCTGTGGCAGGCCATGCTTCCTCAGCAGCCTCAGGAAGTACATCCTCTGCTGGGCCAATTTCAGGATGGAGATGGTGTTGACTTCCCACTTCATGTCCTGGGAGACTGTGATTCCCAGGAACTTGAAGGTCTCGACGGTTGACACGGGGCAGTTGGATAGTGTGAGGAGCAACTGTGGTGAAGGATATTTCCTGAAGTCCACGATCATCTCTACAGTCTTGAGCGTTTTTAGCCCGAGGTTGTGTCTGTTGCACCAGAGCTCCAGCTGCTCCACTTGTTGTCAGTACGCAGACTCGTCGCCGTCTTTGATGAGACCGATGACCGTGGTGTCGTCTGCGAACTTTATGAGTTTGACAGCTGGACTTGTTGAGGTGCAGTCGTTTGTGTAGAGGGAGAAGAGCAGTGGAGAGAGGACGCATCCCTGTGGGGCTCCAGTGCTAGTGGTGCGTATTGATGATGTTGTTCTTCCCAGTCTCACGTGTTGTGTCCGTCCCATCAGGAAGCTGAGGATCCACTGGCAGATCGTAGGGGACACACCGATGTGGAGAAGTTTGGGGGTGAGGAGTTCCGGGATGATGGTGTTGAACGCAGAGCTGAAATCCACAAACAGGATCCTTGCATAGGTCCCTGTTGCTGTCGAGGTGTTCGAGGATGTAGTGCAGACCAATGCTGACTGCCTCCTCCACAGACCTGTTTGCCCGGTAGGCAAACAGAAGAGGGTCCACCAGGGGTCCGGTGACATTCTTTAGGTGGTTCAGCACAAGGCGTTCAAAGTACTTCATGACCACAGACGTCAGAGCGACAGGCCTATAGTCGTTCAGGTCCGATGTTG